GTGACTGTATTTGTAATTCTTTAAATAATTAGTTTTAATCAATTAATTTTTGTTAATTGAAATTGTATTGTCATCCAAAATAATCATGTATATAAATTTCAGCTCAATTGAGCGCTTTAAAATGTATTTTATTAACGATTGAAAATTCCCCCAAGATAAATAAATAAATAAATATATAGAGAGTGTGAGCTATATAATAGTAGGAATTGAAAAAAAGAATATGTGTGCTTATGACCGACCACACTATACAACTGGTAACTTCAAATTTTGTAAAGTTATTTCAGGGATTAGTTAGGTGAATAAAATAAAAGGGATATTAGTATTGTCCTATAAAATTATTTATTCATATGTCTGTACTATAAAGTAATATTTTTTTGCAAAATATACACTATTTGTGAATTAATTGTATTCTAAGATGGAAACAATAGGTTTATGGTAGCTGAAATATGTTATAAATACTTTTGTTTCAAAATTATTTAAATATCTACAAAAAACTGCATCAAGTGTTGTTCCGTACTTTATCGTGCTTTCATTTGGATCATTTGACATAAATAAATTGAATTTTGCTTTTGAAAAATCTACTAAAAGCCTTGATTTGTCTTTTGAAAAATCAACATTAAAATCCCCACTTAAAATAATAGGCAATTTGTTCAGAAGAGTTGATCCGGCTTCACAGTGTAGGCAACTTAACTTTTGTGAATAAATTCGATAATTTTCTCTGCACTTTAATTTAGAGAAATATAAATAGTAACCATTAGAATTGTGTTTGTCCATTTTCTGCTCTGCATTTCTCTGCACAAATTTCTCCGATACATGACTCATTAAACCAAAATGATTCAGTAATATTTGATGCTACATCCATTTCTGAAGTGACATAAGTTGTCATATCTCCCTTATTTTTATATATAGCAACTCCACTAGCTCTGTGATTGTGTCTTTGGAATTTAGCAATACAATGAAAATTTGAACATCTATGTTTTCTTCATTACTTATCAAGTTTCTGTGTTAAAAGTAATATAGTTACATGGTGCATAACACTGTCATCGAGATCCAAGGCATGTGCATGTAAACTTTGACGATTTAAAGAATATATTAATGTTGCCTTTTTGAGGAAATGAAATTTGTAAAGATATCCGTGATTGTTTTAAGTTTGTTTTGAGATAACCTTATCAATTCATTTTGTAGATATCTGAGATTTGTAGATTCTCTTAGCCATGGAAGAATTTTGGTTCGGAATTTTCCATAACAATGTAAAGCCTTTCAAGACTTGTTTCTCGTGATAGTGCAACATATACCAATTGTTGAGAATGTGTTTTCTCTTACTTATAATAAGTCTTAAAGGACTTTTCATTGTTACGGAAAATTCCGATCCATTGTTACGAGTGTTACAAACTCTAGCGTAACAATGTTTGGCTTTTTAAAACGCATCATTCAAGTTCACTCTCCAGCAAAACGTGCCTGAAGAAGTTATCACTTCAAAAAGAACCATGACAAAGACAGTTTAGGAGAATCAAACTATAAAAATTATAATTATTTGTGATATTAAAGTTACAAAAAAGGCAATCTGAAATTTTTAAAAAATTTTGTAAATGAAATTTTTTATTAATTAAATATATGAATTTATATATATATACTGAAGTCTTTTTACATCTTATTTGTGTTTTGACGGCTGAATTATACGATCAACAGTTATAGTATAATCACGTTATCTTTCTAGTACTTGCGTATTAGCCCGTTTAATGTCACTATCCATTTTAGGTAATTAAAAATTTATGAAATTCTTAATGGAACCATTTTAATACAAATCATAATCCCAAGGAATTCTTAAATTTGAGCATTTGTACTTCAATTTCTTTATGTGTAATTTTCTTTCATACAAGAGCAAGTATTCGGAAAAATTACCGAATACAGTAATACCCCGAATTTACTCGATAGGTGGAACTGAATGATAATCGTGTAAGTCGAATTCATGGAAGTCGAGGTATAATTCAGCACATAAATATATATACATTATTTTTATTTGGGGCCAAAGCTGAAAGTAAGTAATAATTGAGAAAAAAAAATTTCGTAAATCTTCGATAATACAAACACAAAATCGCAAATCGAAGTTATTCTTCAATTCCTACTTTTAGCTCACTCTCTCTATATATTTATTTATTTATATATTTATCTTGTTCAAATTTTCAATCGTTATAATAAAATACTCTCTATTCATCCCTTCAAGTACAAATACATTTTTTTAAACTTGCACTGGATGACACTTTATGTTAATATAGTTTTTTCAAATATTAATTCATTAATTAAATTTAATTAATTCAATTACTGGTTTTTGACACCAATTTAGAGTCGTCTCCATTGTTGTAACAATATAACTGGTAAAACAACCTATCGAAACCTATTTTTCAGCCAAATCGGGTGTGCATTGTTACAACAATGCAGACAAATCGGGCTCTTTTTTCAATTCTACTATTAGTTCACTCACTCCCTATATGTATATTTATGCATATATATATATATATCTTATTCAAATTTTCAATCGTAATAAAATACTTTCTATTCATCCACTCGAAGTAGGAATTGACTTAATTTTTTTTTTTTTTCATATTACTTGCTATGTAAAAGTTTTCAAAAAATCCAACAAAGTAGTCTGCTGGCTCAAAGATTTTTCTTTACTCCCTAAAAGTTTTCTCGTAGGTAATAATTTTTATTAATTTTGTTTATTATTTGTTTTTGTTAAATTATTTTACTAATTTTTTTTATTCCTTGCTTTGATGACGCTCTTTGTTGGAGTCAATATTTTAAAAAATTAGAACCCTTTTTTCAATTAAACTCAGTTCTGTCCAATTTCCAACCATCATTCTATCTTCTGATTGAACTGGGTTTAAAGACTCAATTTTTTTCCTGAAACAAAAAACGAGTTGACGAGATTTGAAAATCACGTAACTCCGGATTGCGTAATTCTAGATATTACTGTAGTTTAGTAAATTAAGGATAATTTTTTTTTATAAATAGTTTAATATAGATTAAACAGTATAAAGAGTTTAATTATAATGTAGCCAATCCTTTTTCACTAAAACGGATCTAAGACGGCCATTAGAAATAAAATAACGCGAGATAGAAAAACACCCGTATGGGATACGGGCATGTGGAAACTTGCCGGTAACTTTCGCCCGTGTCTGACACGGGAAAATTAACTAATTAACTTCTCTTATCCACTGCATTATAAAGTCTTATAGCTACATAAAGAATCAAATAGAGTAAGGCCTCGATTTTTACGCTACCCCGACACACGCGAATTCGGAGTTATGCGATTTTCAAATCTCGTCAATTCGTCCTTTTTTTTTTCACCACTGAAATTCAGGTGGAATCGGTACCAGTGTGATGAAATACGTAATTCAATTGAAGGATATTTTGATATTGTCAGATAAATAAATTTAGAAGTAGATAGGGATAACGTTCAAGAACTACTGGATTCCCACAATCAGGTACTGACAATTGATGAACTCATAGAAATGCATGAGAAAGACATTGAAGAGCTTGAGTCTTAACACCCAATTCTATCAGAAGATCGAATGATGGTTGGAAATTGGACAGAAGGTCTCAGTTTAACTGAAAAAGGATTACAAATTTTAGAAAATACATACTCCAACAAAGAGAGTATTTTTTCAACTAAACAAGGAATAAAAAATTTATTAGCATGTTACGAGAAAATTTTGCAAGGGAAAAAATTTTTTTTAACCTACAGACTACTTGTAGATTTTATGAAACTTTCGACATAAAAAAAAAACTTCGGCTTGCGATTTTGTTTATGTTATCTAAGATTTTATTGAACATTTTTTTTTCTAGATTATTTTTTACTTTCGTCTTCAGCCCCTACTAAAAATAATTTATATGTATTTACATGAGAAATTATGCCCAGACTTACACGAATTTGATTTAAGTGGTTATCACTCAGTCCTACCTATTGCGTAAGTTCTGGGTATTACTGTACATTCTACAATAAAATATTTCATAAGGCATCGGAAATATTTTTATTATGTTGACAAGGCATATATTATTATGTTTTAAATCCACGTCTTAAACAATATTTAAAGAATTCATTATCCATCCTGTAAACAACATCATTTAAATGATAAATATATAAACAAGTAGTAATTCATATATTCCTCAGAATTAAGAGCTTTCTCGAGTATATCATATTTTCTCGAAAAGTAAAATATCAGTCTTAATCCAAAATGAGTTCTGCCTATTTATCTAAATGAACAATTTGGTTATCTAAATGTTCCATGGAAAATATCGATCCTTCTCTCCATTTATGATAAAATTACACTTCGTTTTAGGAGAGCATTACTTTCGCTCCCCTTTGATGTCAAAATCGCCCGGAGCTCTGGCAAATATTTGTTCACTCGTATGGATACAGTTGAATGTATTGCCCTGCTGTTTTCTCAAAGGAAGCAAATTTCTTGCAAATCTTGCAGAAGTCACAATACCAAAACAGATAGGTTTGTATTTAAAGGAAAAATTAATTTTTATCGTAATTAGTTTGTGAATTTAGCCAAGTGGTGGAGAAATTCCTTTTCGCAAAAGAATTTTGAATAACATACTAATTAAGATCTAAAGTCATTTTTCAGAAATTTTTTACCAAGATGAATAATAAGGAGTATAATTATATTTTAATGCAAGCCTATTCCTTGTAATAAATAACAAGTAATATAAAAAAAATTAAGTCAATTCCTACTTAGGTAAACAAAGAAACATTTTATATATTTTAGCGACTCTTTATTAAATAATTACAATTAATATAAATATATATACATATGAAAGAATCACAATAGTAAGTGACAAAATAAAAAGCGATTTTCCTTGCAATTTTCCATTTTCCTTTCTATATAGGGTGTTGAACTATCATTTTTGTTTAATACTATTTATTCATTAATTAAATTTAATTATTCTAATAAAATAATATAGTAAAAAAGAAATCATATTCTCAGAAATTAGTCCATCGCAGGTGGGTTTCGAACCCACGATCATTGGATTAGAACTTCAACGTGCTTTCCAATGCGCTTCAGGAACACAACGAATGATTTTCCTTTCTATAATGCTGTTGGGCTATTATTTTTGTTTGTTGCTATTTATTCATTTTTTAATTTAATTAATGAATTATTATTTGAAAAAAAACTGTATTAACATCAAGTGTGACTCACTACAAGTGTAAGAAAAGGATTTGAACTTCAATGGATGATTGGAAAGTATTTTATTTACGTTTGAAAATTTGAACAAGATATGTATATAGAAAGAGAGTGAACTAACAGTAGGTAATAAAAAAAACCAAACAAAAGTCAAGGTAAATGCCGAAAAAAATAAAACCTATGATGCGTGGCCATTACACAGCTATTTAAATATAATTACAAAATACTATTTAAAAAAAACCTATAAAAATAAGTATAATATATTTTTAGAAGGAAAATATTAAAATCAGTAAATTTAAATGATTTGAATAGTCTCGTTTGACTATTTTTTAATTAACACGAATTAAAAATAAATTAAATAAATTCTTATGTTAAACGTGCATTTTATCATCATATTCTGTATATTTCCGTGTATAAGCCGAGCACTTTTAAACTTTTTTTAAAGTGAAGATAAGAGATTCGGTTTATATATATATATATATATATTCATAAATATTCATTTATATATATATATATGAATCCGCTCATCGCGGGGAAAAAAGTAGTTTAGGAAAAATGGTTCTTAAAACATTTTCCTTTTGCCATGTGCAAGCTACTTAAATCTTTCAACTTTTTGGGCTTTTTGAATTGAACTTTTACTGTAAAAGAAGAAAAATAAGTCACATAAATCCTTCAAAACAGTCAGAATCCGAGTTTCCGACTAATTCGTGAAATTCACATTCACTCATTGAAGTATCTCTGTGAATAGGATTATTTCCTCCAGGACATGAAGCACCGATCGACGATCCCTTGCTGTATATGAATTTTTCTACCTGCTCATTTTCCAAACACAAGAATTACGCAGAAAGTATGACTAACACAGATATTTTACAAGATAGCAAATTAATGAAAAAAAGTGTGTTAGCTTCTCAGATAGAGTTACGCAAATAAAACAGCTACCAAAGACGTTTTACCTAACAACAATTTAATTGCAAAATATTTCACTCCTTTTACCCAATAAGCAACACTTTCGCTCTGTTGGTAAATTATTGGAACATTTTTTTTTAACTCGGCATATAAACGGGTACCAAATTTTGGGTAGAAGGAAAAACACACTCTTGACACATACAGTTTATATTCGGAAATATACGATGAACGGTAATATTTTTTGAAGGATATATAATTCTTTAAAAATGCAGTCATCTTTGTACTTAACCCTTTAACGGGCACAAAACTAAAATACACTTTTCTGTAATAAAGTACTTGATAAATGTAATATTCTCATCCCCTATAAACATTATTTAGTCATAAAAAATATCTGATCAAGGGCTTTTTTCCTGGGTGGTAGCTAGACGTTATAGCCACTGCGCACTTAGGACATTTAACTTACTTTTCAGGACAGAAATAATGAATCACATTACAATAAACATTTTATGAAAAATTGACATTTATGTAATAGCTATTTCAATAACAATTTACAAAGTATAAGTGTAATTAAATAATAATAGAATAATTGTACAACATAGAGTTCTTACTAAGAATATATATATAATACTTAGAATATACACCGAAATTAGTACATATCCACATTTTATACTTTATTTAATTTTAGTATAAAAAGTTAGAAATAAAGTAATATATTTTTGAGAATTAAGTTAGTTATTTTACAAATTTGATGAGCTATTTACTGTGGAACTTTATAATAAGCAAACTTTTTTTCCGAGCAGAAAAGCTGTAATGAAAGATTTTCGAAACCGAGAATTTTGTACCACATATTGTAAACAAAGTTGGTTTATAATTCGACTCCCAACATTCTCACATGATTATAAGTGTGTAGAAAAAGCGAAAATTTCTAGGTCATTTTTCCATTCTATATGGGCAGTGGATAGAGCCTCTATCCACATATAAAAGCTTTCCAAAAACCTAAATAAAACCTTTCAAATTGTAGATTTACACCGAGAAAAACTGTTTTGAACTACCCATCAAAAAACGTGAAATGCAAAAAAAGGTATCGTCCTGCCATCCGTATTGATTTTTATGCGTTTTAGTTTCAATTAACTCATGTGGATGGACTAAATGTCCATAACCCGCTTGGAGAAAATTTTTTAAATATGTGGTTAGACCTATTAACCACTGACCGCTAAAAGGTTAATAAAATACACTCGACTGCTAAATTTCAAGAGTTCAAAAAAA